TTCTATTCTATTCTATTCTATTCTATTCTATTCTATTCTATTCTATTGTGTTCTGTTCTGTTCTATTCTATTGTGTTCTGTTCTGTTCTGTCCCACAGTTGATGTATTTCCCCCGCAGCAGCCGGACAACGCAAGCAAACCGAGTGGGAAAACGAGCAGCCGAGCAAGGCAACGTTCCTTTCTGCTCCGCAAAAGAACAGCCAGCAGTGCGGTGCAAGCCAGCCAAGATCCAGGAAGCCTCTCGACTCGATCCAGAAATTGGGCCTGGGATCCGTGCGACTTTTAAATTGAGGAACCCGCTGCTAATTGCTTTTTATCGATTTCCCTTTGGGCCGCTTCCCGGGACTCCAACCCTCCTCCCGTTTGGGGGGGGGGGGGGGGGGAGAAGGAGGAGGTGGAAGAAAAACAGGAAAAACTGCATGGAAGCGGCGAAGGGGAGGGGAGGGGGGGTCTCCGCGCTCCAAGAAACGCCTCCTTCCACTCACTTGTCCGCTCCGGCGTTCTTGAAGGTTGTTGCTAACCGCGTCGCAATCGTTTCCCACCCGCCCTTCCTCCCCATGCTTCCCAGCGCCCCTCCCCGCCCCCGACCTCGAGGCGAATTGGCTCCGCCGTGCCAAACCCGCCGCCGCCGCCGCTCCCGAGCGCACGCCTTCAGCCCCAGCCAAACCCCCTCGCCGCCGGGCCGGACGGAGGGGGACGCTGCTGGCCAGGCTGAGCTTTGCTGCAACCACGTGTCACTCGCAGCCTGCCTGTCACCCACAACCACAACAACAACAAGAAGAAGAACAAGGAAGCCTGCGGGGGAAAATCTCCTTCTCCCCTTGGATCGCCCTGGGGGAAGGCGCCCCTTTCCTGATCCAGGTGAGTCCGCTGAAAAGCAGGGCTGGCTGGCTGGGAATCTCGCAGGTCAGGATTCTCCCCTTTGGTCACCCAACCCGGGTTGTAACCCTCGTCGCTTTGCCCAATGTCAAGTTGACTGGGGTTGGGTTTTTTGGGGTGTGTGTGTGGGGGGGGGGAAGTGGCTGCTTGTTTTTGTTTTCCTTTGCCAAGGGGGTGAGGGGGGGCGTGCCTTATGCGCAGCCGAGGCGATTGCGAGCTGAAGGGAATCCAGAGCTGCGCGCATCGGGGTGCTGGGAGCGGGTGGGTGGGTTTGTCTTCGCACTTGGCTGCCCGGCTTCCAGGGGGTGGGGTTGCGCGCAACCGAGGAAGCGGCGGGTCCGGGGGGGGCGCGGCTCGGGGGGGGGGGGGGGGGGGTGTCCGTGGAAGGAAACCGCCGAGAAGCTTGCTTTAAATTGCAATGATCGCGAGCGATTGAGCAAGCCTTGGATTTCTGCTCCAGAAGGCCGGCTGGGGAGAATTGGTAATTGAAAAGGAAAAAAAAAAGGCGCAGAATAGGCTCCGAGAAGCAAGTTGGCAGGGGAGGAGGGGAGGCGCGCAGCCATGTGCCCGGTTGCCTTCCAAGGCCTCGTCTGGAAGTCTTTAACATTCCGTTCAAGGACGGGGCTCCTGATGAATTTGCCCAGCGGTGCTTGCATCCTTTTGACACCCCTGGCCACCTGGTTATAGATCGTGAAGATTGGAGCGTAAAGTCGGTGGCTCTGGGGAACTGAAAGGGAAGCATCTGCAAGCTTTGGGATGCTGAAAGGTGCATCCAGGTTATCGGGCGGGCGCCTTTCATCTTCTCCTTTGTTTTTAATGTGTGTTTGTGTGTGTGTTTCTGGCCAGGCTGGTTGCAGCAATGGAAGAAAATAGCTTGGGCACCCTGCAACAGAGGGCAGCTGAGCTGGAGTGCATGGCCGAGGTTCTTCTGACAGGGGAACAGCTAAGGTAAGGATGTGGCTTTTCACAAGTACTTTGGCCAGGAGAGGGCAGCAAGGGAAACTGGGTTCTACCCCAGATTTTGGGTTTAGGGATGGTTTTTGCCTGTAATCTGCTTTTCCTTTAAAGCAGGGGTCTCCAACCTAGGCAAAGCTGGCTGAGGAACTCTGGGAGTTGAAGTCCACAAGTCTTAAAGTTGCCAAGGATGGAGACCCCCTGCTGTAAAGGATCAAGGTTACATGGGGAGGTTCTCCTCTTATTTAATTGGCCTCAACAATAACCCTGCAAGGTAGGTGGGCCCGAGAGGACAAGACTGACGCAAAGGCACCAGGTGAATTTTCCCTTCCTCACTCCAAGCCACCGTGTTGATGTGGTTGATGCTTCGTCCAGCTACATAGCAACGCCTGATATTTTCAGGAATTTTCGATATTTTCACATCTCAAGGAGAAAAAGCCTGCTCTGAATGAACAAATACCCGCAGGGTAATGAAACCCGAGGTGGGATGCTACTGGTTCTGCCCAGCTCTATAGAACCGGTAGCTCTGAAGAGCAGCAGACATAGAACCGGTTCTGTGTTTGCTGCTGTTTGGCCCACTCGCCCGCCTGGGCTCTTACCTGTCCTTTATTTCATGCTTTTGCAACCTCAGCTAGGCTTTGCGCGGCACGGCTGAGGTTGAAAAAGCAGGAGAAAAGAGGCTTTTGAAATGCTGCACACCCGCACGCAGCACTTTTCAGCTGTCCGGTTGGCACAACTAAAGCTTGTTTTACACACGCGCGCAGCGCACATCTGGACTTGCAAGGTGCATGCACAAAACGTACTCCCCGAACCACCACTGAATGAAACAGATTCAGTGTTCCCATCATCTTCTAGCAGACTGGCCTTGCTGGGTAGAGGAGATGGGAACTGTATTCCAGCTTATCTGGAAGACTAGTCTTGGAATTCTTCAATCTTCAGAGCCCTTCTTTATTTTAACTTTGTGTTCATTTTCCCCACCGGCAGCAAACAAGGATGAATTCAAAAGAGTGATTTTAGGGTTTTCCCTTCATCCGTTCAATGTATACAAAAGCAGGAGGGTGTATTTTTAGCTGCCTTGCTGTTATGGGATGGCTAAAGCCTGAGAATGAAATGAACTTTTATTTTTTTAAAAAAAAGAAACAATTAAAAACATTTTGTTTGACATCTTCTCATCTGTCAAAGAGCGTTTCCTTTTCCAGATACACAGCCTTGATTCTGCTACATAAGGCAAAGTCTGCACACACACTATACTCAGGCATGTAGCTTTAATAGTCTATCCCAGGGGTGTCAAACTCAAGGCCCAGGGCATGGATCCCGCCCATGGAGTGTTTAGATCTGGCCCCTGGGGTCGCCCTGGAAACAGCAAAGAACCAACCTGTGGTGCAGAGGTGGCATTCAGCAGGTTCTGACCAGTTCTGGAGAACCAGTAGCAGAACTTTTGAGTAGTTTGGAGAACCGGCAAATACCACCTCTGACTGGAGATTTTACAGTATCCTTTCCCTGCCACGCCCACCAAGCCACGCCCACAGAACCGGTAGTAAAAAAAATTGAATCCCACCACACTTTTGACCATGGTCATCTGATCAAAATTAGGCATCTTGACAACTGGAATGTATTTACGATGATTGAAGTGTCTCAGGTTCACATGATCACCCTTTGCTACCTTCCCAGCAGGGTCCCAACAAGCAAAGTCGATGTGGGAATCTGGGTTCGCTTTATAACTGCAATGATTGGCTTAACAACCATGGCAAAATTATTTTATTATTGTATTGTATTATTTTATTTTTATTTTATTTTATTATATATCTTATTTTGTATTATATTTTATTTTATATTTTTTATTTTATTATTGTATTATTTTTTATTTCATATTTTATTATGTTATTTTATTTTATATTTTATTATTTTATTTCTTATTTTTATTTTGTTTTTTTATTATTCATTTATTTATTTAAAGCTTTCCAGGATGAGGTGAGATTAAAATGCGGGAGGGGGGTTCCACCAGCCGTTGGTGTAAAAAGATTTTAGTTGCAAAGTGAAATTGCAACTCATGTAGAATTTACAAAGCCTTCAGTAGGGCTAGCAGCAAAGTTAAGAAACCAAGGAAGAGGAACTGAGATATAAATATTTTACGATAAGTAAAACATGTGAACTACTGTTGTCATATCAAATAGAGAAGATTTTTTATTTTCCTTTCCTTTCTGGTTGCATGCGATCCTGCGGTGTTTGCTTGTTGTAGGATGTCAGGCACAAGTATTTAAAGAGGCTGAAACATTCAGGCATTGTGATGCCCTGATATTTATTTATTTGCTTCCTTGTTTGCATGCCCTTACTCTTTTTCTCCCATACTTTAGATGGTTTACAAAGAATACTTTTAAAACAGAATCAACCAAATCATTCCAAAAGATAAAAAAAATAATTCTTAGACCATGTCTCCTTGAGGACAGGATGGTAAGCATGCTTCCCTGCATGCAAATAATATGACTTATGATTATAATGGAGCCTACAGTTTCTATTGTATGGCATAACAGTTGTAAATCAATGCTCCCATATGACCAATCTGATTTTATAACATTATTTGTCATTAAGCAAACCCATTGTCTACAATGGGACTTTTTTTTCCCAGAAATCGGAAATAAATGCCATAAATTTGTCATAAATTGTAGAATACTGCAAACAGCTGTAAATGCAGGCTGGTTGCCAAGTGCCCAAAATGTGATCATATAACCTTGGGGACAGGGGCGGCTATTGGAACTTTGAATTCGGGTCCTAAGTATCTTTTGGGGGGAGGGGTCCATCATAATAACATTGAACAGTCACTAAGCAATTAGTTGTAAAATGAGAACTATGTGTATTCACCTAAAGCCAGATAATTCTACCTGGAGGAGGGTGTCCTTGAAATATCTTTATTCATTAATGGGTTGCTTTTACCTGAGTAAATTTTAAGGGAAGGGGTGGGTAGTAGCTACTCTGCTGTAACTTCAGCCAGCAACTCTGACAAGCCACCATGGGAATTCTTGGGAAGTGTAATCCAGCATACCTGGGAAGCCCTTCATGGGAGAAATTAAATCTGTGGCACTCTTTTTCAGACTTGACAACATTCAGATGTGTGGACTTCAACTCATGCTGACTGAGGAATTCTGGAAGCTGAATTCCACACACCATTAAAATTGCCAAGTTTGAAAAACCCTGGTCAACCTCTTTAGTGGAAGAATAAGAAAGAATCAGTTATGCCTTCTGTGTGCAAATGAGTGAAATTTCTACCCACGTATGTCTTATTTACAATAGATATCAGGACTGTTCTGAGCCAGCCTGGTTTTTGCTTTGTAAGGGTTGTGTGTGATGGTTGCAGAGATCTCTGGATCGTTATTCACTGCTAGAGGATTCTGCCTTTCCAAAGCAGTGTGGATTAATGGTCCTTTGATCTTATCTGCCCGTGTCCATACGAGCTCCCCTAATTTCATTTTGGTCAACAAAAAGGCATGTGGTTTTTCCAGATCTTCCTCAAGCCATTCTGTACATTATCAGATGGCTAAAGCACACATTCCATTTCTCCTGGCCTCCCTTAAGGATTAGAGAGGCCCATTGTCATGCCCCTGGTGGAGACTGACTCTGAGGAAGAGGAGGAACAGCCAACAGGGAGTGGAAGTGTGGCTCCAGAGGTGGTGGAGGAGGCTGGGGAAGGTCAGAGGCTGGCTGAGCAGTCAGAGGAGGACCCAGACCCATCCTAGGGCACGCAGGGAGGAGAGGATCAGGGTAAAACGTGGTCTACTTGGGAGGAGAGGGCCATGATCCTCTTCATGGGTTGCAGGTGTGAGATTTGCATAAGAGTTTGGACCTGTGTGCTAACAGACGCTGGAGACAAATTAGTGTTTTATTCCTAAAGAAGGTTTATCTTGGTTGGCGTTCTTCCAACGGACTGTACTTGGTTATCTTCCTGAAGTTGGCAATTATCTATCCTGGTCTGTCCTGGAACTTTATTCAGTGCAGTTTGTTTTTGGTTTTTGCTTCGTTATCGGCTCTTTGAATTGGAACTGTGTTTCTTTTGTTTGAAATGTTATTTTGAAAATAGTTTACTCCACCACTGTGAACAATTAAACAGTGAAGCCAAGTTGAAGGTATTGAAGGACTTTTAGTTATGTTTTGGGTTTTGTTTTATTTCTGATATACTCTGGGTCATTACATCCACTGATTTGGTCGCCTAATGGAGGCTCCAACTGAGTTTGGCATGGCGTATTGCCACAATGGCTGGTGCATGTTTGGTTGCAGAAGTGAAGATTGAGCAAGGTGACGCCAACTGAGCTGCAAAGAGGCAGGAACAGAATTGACTGTGATGTGCTAAAGCCAGAGACAGTACCTTGAACTGGCAAATAATGTTTAGATCTTAAGAACAAAGCAGAAGATTTCATGAGTAGTTTTTACCCATACAACAGTGCCAAAGCACTGGCGTGTGACACCACATTTTCCCTCTCCAGCAGCAGATGATTGCACAGATAAGGCCCCAGAGGCAAATAATGGCACCATCATGAGTGCACGAGAAGGAGATTCAGTAGCTTAAAATAACAACATGCTTTAGAAGTCACATTTTTGCTCTGAAACATTCTTCTCTTTTTCTCCTTTTCCTTGAGAGCAGCAATGCGTGAGGGCATGGTTGATAGAAGGCAAGACAAGCAGGAGGGAAATGCAGGTGTAGCCAAGACACAAGGGGAGAAGCTTGCTGAGCACATGCACTCTCTGGCAAAAGAATGTTTCGAAAGTGGAGAGAGAATAAACCTGTGCAGCAGGCTGCAGAGAGAAGGGAAGTCTGAACTGGAGGTCCATTGCTGTCCATGACTATGTGAGGCACCCCAGAATGCAGCCAATTAAATAATGGAAGCTGTGTGTTGGGTATATCAAGCTTGTTTTAAGGTTGGGGTTGAATATTCCAATCACTTTTCTTCACATAAAGAAAGATAGAGATCACCTAGAAGAACTGCTTCTGGAAAAGCAGAAACTGTAGGGAAGAAACTCAAAGGAATTTTGTCTTAATTATGACGGAGCAGAAAGAATCTCCGAAAGGACTTCAAGATTCCAATACAAGAGGATATTCGTAGCTCAGGGTGGAATTGTGCGGTTCCTTGGTACTCTCTGAACGTGGTGGTTTTCTTGCAGGTATTTCATTACCCAACTAGGTAACATCATCAGTGCTAGAAGGGAGTGGGGCTCGCTCCCAAGAGTCTGAAGACATGATGAAAACTCCTTAATTGCAGAACACATGGGCAGACTTCACCCTAGTTTTCAGATGGGAAACAGTGAGCATTCTAGATCAAGCTAAGTCCAAAAAACACTAGAAGATTCCTGAAAACCTGGAGCTCAGATAAACCACCCATCAACAGGCACATAGAGATAATAACATCTACATACCATTCAAAGGAGACAATAAAAAAGCTAGAAGATCACTATACCTCCTGACCAGCAGTCAAAACCCAGATAAGCAGAGATAAATGACCAAATAGCAAACAAACAAGGAACTATTAACTCAGTAAACAACGGTCTAATCAAGGAACTATCGGGAACACTCCCATAGCAATGACAGGGTAAGCTACTTGTACATAAACAGAGAGAAACCCCCTTCCCTTCTAGCACTGATGATGTTACCTAGCTGGGTAATAAAATGTCTGCAGGAATACAACCAAGCTCAGAGACCACCAAGAACCCTACATTTCAAGATTCTGTTATTATACACTTCAATAATAAATGATCATTCCTGTAACTCTTAGGATGTCCATTTTCCAATCCAGGCTACCTTGAAGAACTGACACTCAGTGAACATGAAGAAAAGCTTTGCCAGTTTTCTCAGTTATGGTTTTCTCAGCTCAGTTCTATAATAACCGAATTGTCTTCTTGGACACACAGCTGAGAGCCCTAACGCTCTTGCCCTTTGTTTAAGGTTGCACAAAATGTTTCAAGCTCACAACTGCCTCTTCCAAGTGTTCCAAACTTGAAACAAACCTCCTGGTGTTTCTGAGAGTTTTGTTCAGAACGTTTATTCCTTGCTTACCGCAGCATATTGACTGTCATGGTCGTCATAGCAAACAATCTCAGCCTTCTAACCTTGACTTGGGCTGTTTTGACTGTTTTGCGCTCCGGACAAAATGTTATTTCAGAACCAAGAGATGGTTTTCAAGTCAGAATAAAGCACTGAACCATTTCACGTTTTCTCCTAATAGACGTGGCCAGTTCAGGTTTTTCTGACAGAAGATTACAAGTGTGGCCTGTGTGATCACAGCTCAGACCAAAACAAGTTTCTCCTTACAGGATTATCCCTTAAGGTTTTGATCTGTATGGAAGATAGCAAAGGACCTGAATGTTTGGAAACGAGAAAGAAAAGCTGGGAGGAAAAAGCAAAAAGAACTGAAAACTTCTCCAAGACAAGACAATCGGCATGGTACAGGTAGTCCGCAACTTACAACAGTTCATTTACTGACCGTTCAAAGTAACAACAGCACTGAATAAAGTGACTTACGGCCGTTTTTCACACTTATGACCAGGGATGGGATTCAAATTTTTTAACAACCGGTTCTGTGGGCGTGGCTTAGGTGGTAGGCATGACTTGGTGGTCATGTGACCACCAGCTGGGCATGGCCAACTCAATATCACTCACATCGAGGCACACATCTCCTCGCTTGGCCTCTCGTGACTGTGGGGAGTCTGCAACAGTCGTAAGTGTGAAAAATGGTCATAAGTCATTTTTTCAGTGCCATTGTAATTTTGAATAGTCACTCCACACAAGCAAAGTACCAGCAAAGGAGGGAAAAAAACTCCAGAGAGGTTCCTGAGACAGGAAGTCTAGTCCTGCCAAGAATGTAAAAAGGTTTAACGGAGAGGCAGTTTCTGTAAGCAAAACCAGAATGTTTCCTTCCTGCCTTCCTTACAGGATTAGGCCAGTAATTTCTTCTAACAACCGATTCTCCGAACTGCTTAGAATGTTAACAACCGGTTCTAGCGAATAGGTGCGAACCTGTAGAATCCCACCCCTGCTTATGACAATTGCAGCCTCTCCATGGTTACATGATCAAAATCCAGACAGTTGGCAAGTGACTCATATTTATGACAGTTGCAGTCTTCTGGAGTCATGTGATCACCTTTTGCGACATTCTGACAGATCAATGGGGAAGCCAGATTCACTTAACAACTGAGTTACTAACTTAACTGCAGTGATTCACTTAACAACTGTGGCAAGAAAGGTCATAAAACTCACTTAATAAATGTCTCACTTTGCAACAGAAATGTTGGGCTCAGTTGTGGTGGTAAGTTGTAGACTACTTGTTTAAACTTAATCAAAATGATAGGTTTCAATGTTAAATCAATGTTTGAATACCGAGTCTGAGGTTACAGAATAAAATACAGAATAACAGAGTTGGAAGGGACCTCAGAGATCTTCTAGTCCATCCCCCTGCTCAAGCAGGAAACTATATCATTTCAGACAAACGGTTGTCCTTCTCTTCTTAAAAACTTCTAGTGTTGGAGCATTCACAACTTCTGGAGGCAGAAGTTGTGAATGCTCCACTGATTAATTGAATGTTCCACTGATTAATTGTTCTGTCAGAAAATTTCTTTAGTTCTAGGTTGCTTCTCTCCTTGATTATTTTCTCTCCGTTGCTTCTTGTCCTGCCTTCAGGTGCTTTGGAGAATAGCTTGACTCCCTCTTCTTTGTGGCAGCCCCTGAGATATTGGAACACTGCTATCATTTCACCCCTAAAAATAAAATAACATGGTTTTTCTTTCTTTTTAATTAACCACAGCCTTGGAGAGGGAGAATCTGATCACGCATGTTACATGAACGATGTATGTAGTGGGATAGAGCTTATAAAGTCCCAGGCCATAAGGCATACACCAGAGGTGGTATTCAGCAGGTTCTGACCAGTTCTGGAGAACTGCTAGCAGAAATTTTGAGTAGTTCGGAGAACCGGCAAATCCCACCTCTGACTGGCCCCACGCCCCATCGATTCTCTGCCTCCCGAGTCCCAGCTGATCGGCTGGGTCTTCTTTTGTTGCCCCGCACAGGAGGACGGAGCTGGAAAGCAGGTTAGTGGGGTGGGAAGAGAATGGAGATTTTACACTATCCAAGTCATGCCATGCCCACAGAGCTGGTAGTAAAAAATGTTGAATCCCACCATTGGGCCATCTGCCTGCAAGGTATCAATTGATTTTAAAGAAGAAAAGGAAAGTATTCTGGGATTCAGAAACTGTCAGCCCTTCGACCTAGACCAGACTAGAAATCAAAATCATGCACGCTAACGCTATTTTTAGTATAAAGTTACAGCAGCAGGATCTTCTGTTGTGTCTTGCCCCACAGCCCCCCTTTATCTTCATGATACCTTAGAGAGGGTCTTTCCGGAAACATTATTTTTCTCTGGTTATAAGTCTGGCCCAGATAACGTATTTCTTTGATCAGGCCTCAGTTGTGGCTCTTCCTCCTGTTCCTCGAAGTTATTCCTTCTTCTGCTCATTATAGAAACAGCTTGAGGGCCACGTTTAATCAAATTATTTAATGTAAGAACTGAATTGAGGATAGAAGTTTTAAAGCCGTTCTTAAAAGACAAGGTTTTTTGTTTTTTTCATGGTGGTGGTGGGGTTAGCGTCTCTCTCAGTCTTTCCTGCACGAGTTTTTCTTCTTTCAAGTTGGCTTATTTCAATAGCACAGCTCAGGGTAGATAAAGCTTTAGGCAATCGCACGGGCTGCTGTTCTTTGCAAAACCCGTCATCTTGAAGTTTTTGCTCCCTCTTCAGTGAATTCCTGCATAAGTTATGTGACAGTAGCAAGCTTATAAAGACAAGGGAGAAATTACACAATAAGGGGAAAATGGAGACCCTCTGAATTTTATTTCTTTGTAAATAGACATGCTTGGTAAAGGGGAGTTGCTTATAGCAATAGCAATAGTGCTTAGACTTATATACTGCTTCACAGTGTTTTACAGCTCTCTCTAAGCAGTTTATATTGCCCCCCAACAATCTGGGTCCTCATTTTACCCCCCTCGGAAGGATGGAAGGCTGAGTCAACCTTGAGCCTGGTGAGGTTTGAACTACCAAATTGCAGGCAGCCAGAAGGCAGCCGAAGTAGCCTGCAGTACTGCACTGCGCCACTGTGGCTCTATAGGGCATTATATGCCAAAACAACTAGACACAGGAACAGTTTTTCCCTTGTGCCATCACTCTGCTCAACTCCTAATTCTCATAGTGCTGACAAATGTCTATGTCATCATCACTGGAGGCTTTCAAGAAGAGATTGGACTGCCATTTGTCAGAAATGAGGTAGGGTCTCCTGCTTGTTGGACTACTAGATCAGTGGCCCCAAACCTTTTTTGGACCAGGGACCGGTTTCACAATTATTTATTCTTCCACGGACCGGTACCTGAGTAACGCGAGACTCCACTGCCATCGGGATGGCTCTTCGTTCGAAGCCGCCGCCCCCCTCTTCGACAAAACTAAGGCGCGAGCACCCAAATGCCGCTTTCCAACTGAAAACCCGGAAGCACTTTCCAACCGAAAACCCAGAAGCAACCAAAAACCCGGAAATGCCGTCGAAACAAGATGGCAGCGCCCAAGCTTTGCGGCCCGATAAAAAATGATCCACAGACCGGTACCGGTCCAGGGACCGGTGGTTGGGGACCCCTGTACTAGATAACCTACCAGGTCCCTTCCAACTCTGTTAATCTGTAAACCTGTGGTTGCTAGCCGAGTCTGAAATATAGCTCTATGTGCCTCGGAGAGAAAGCTTGTCATCTGGCATTTTCGCTCTTCCATCCTCTCAGACCTGGAGAAACAGTCCTTAGGAAGTTTCTAAATAAATTTCCATGTGGAGGAAGGAAAGAGTGATGTATTGCTTACATATTTATCACTTTTGGCGTATTGTTCTCTTATATCGCAACTCTAAACACTAAGGACTTCCTCAAAGGTTATCGGGTCCACGGATCTAGCAAACCAACACTACTGCTTCCTGAAAGCAAATTCAATTATTTCAGTATGAATAATGTCCCAAGATCTAATATTGTTCGTTAAGCTGTGCTGTTCGAAAATAAAGTTGCCTCATTTCCTTCTCTGTTTTTCTTCAACGCAGCTTAATTATGCAGCTTAAGCCAATGCAGACATCGTTAAAAATTGTGCAAAGAAGTACAGATAGTCCTTGACTTACAACAGTTCATTTAGTGACCATTCAAAGTCACCATGGTGCTGGAAAAAGTGACTTATGACCATTTTTCACACTTACGACCCTTGCAGCTTCCCCATGGTCATTCGATCAAAATTCAAGGGCTTGGCAACTTGACTCCTAGTTATGACGGTTGCCGAGTCCATGTGATCCTCTTTTGCGACCTTCTGACAAGCGAAGTCAATGGAGAAGCAAGATTCACTTAACAACCATGTTACTAACTTAACAATTGCAGTGATTTACTTAACAACTGTGGCAAGAAAGCTCGTAAAATGGGACAAAACTCACTTAACTGTCTCACTTAGCAACAAAAATGCGGGTCCCAATTGTGGTTGTAAGTCTAGGATTGCCCGTATTGCATTTTATCCTAAATTGCATTAACAGAGGGATACAATCAAGATCAAGTGAGGTACTAATACCACTCTATAAAGTCTTAGTCAGACCACACCTGGAATACTGCATCCAATTTTGGTCACCACACTATTAAAAAAAATGTTGAGACTCTAGAAAGAGTGAAGAGAAGAGCAACCAGGATGATTAGGGGACTGGAGGCTAAAACATATGAAGAATGGTTACAGGAACTGGACATGGCTAGTCTAGTGAAGAGAAGGACCAGGGGAGACATGATAGCAGTCTTCCAATATTTGAGGGGATTCCACAGAGAGGAAGGGGTCAAGCCATTTTCTAAAGCACCCGAAGGCCAGACAAGGAATAATGGATGGAAACTGAACAAGGAGAGATTCAACCTAGAAATAAGGAGAAACTTTCTGACAGTGAGAACAATCAACCCATGGAACAGAAGTTGCCTTCGGAAGTTGTGGGAGCGCCATCAGTTGAGACTTTCAAGAAGAGATTGGACTGCCATCTGTCAGAAATGGTGTGGGATCTCCTGCTTGGGTGGGGTGTTGGACTAAATGACCTACAAGGTACCTTCCAACTCTGATTATCTGTTATCTGTTATCTTTCTGTATATTCCCATTTTTTTCCTGACATTCAGTATTAGTCCATACATTCTGCTAAACAATGTTTGTTTCATCATGATTGAGTAAGCCATAATTGGCCCTTTTTCTGGGTTATGTCCAAGACATAATCTATAGTTTACAAACCACAGTGAATGTATTAATGAAACCTGAAAGCCACAATAATGCTATTTATGCAACATACAAATCTTACAATGTAATTTGATGTATGGACCCTCTCATTATCTGCTCAGTGTGTAGCCTATAGAAATATTTCTCTAAGAAAAATGCTCTTCATTCCCAAGTCAGCAGCATGTGAGCTTTCTAATTTTAATGAATTAGTAAGTTAAATCAATAGAGTGTATAGCCTTTCTC